GGAGAGAAGAAATCTAGGGCAATTAGAAGGTGGAAGGGGAGGGAATGGGGGAAGGGGAGAGGTTGGACAAGGGACATAAAGAATAATTATGGTTTGTAACAACATATATGCTAGTAATACTGATTTAATCAGCATATCTCAATGTTCAACCCCAAAATATGTACAATCGATTTTGATTCAATAATAAAATAAATTATTTAAAAAAAAAAATGTTTATGGTCTAGTGGTCTGGCCCTGGGCTGGAGTGCTGGGATAGTGCTGCTGGTTTTCCCTCTCACAGTGGCAATGGGACAGATAATGATCCTACCAGAGCCTTGGGGGGTGAGGGTGCAGTGTGGTGGGGCAACAGTGAGGACAATGAAAAAGCTTTCTCTCCCTCAGCCTCGCCCCCATCTCAAGGTGCCACACTTCCACTCTGGCTGCAGTTACCATCTCCCCACAATTGGCCCCCAACCACCTTCTGTCTCCTCATGGGTTTCTCAGCTTTTACCTCGGATTCTCATAGGCTTAACCTCTCTTCAATTCTTTTTTCTTCAGTGTTGTGATTGTTAAACGGAAAACCTCCAGCAAACAAAAGTTGAGTTCAATCGACCCCATTTTCCATCACATGGCAACTATAATCATCAACTCTGGCCTCTGTTACAGTATTTCATCTATCCTTGTCCCTCACCTCTGGCCTATTGGATTATTGGATTATTTTTAAACAAATCCCAGACTTATTTCTGAGGCATCTCCAGGATTTGGAAGAGGAAGCTAGTACTACCAGTCTGTCCAGGCTGTATTAGTTCACCATCTTTTTTTGTGTGTGTGTGGCTGGCTGGTACTGGGATCTGGACCCTTGACCTTACAACACCACATTCTAACCAACTGAGCTAACCAGCTAGCCCTAGTTCACCATTGTGGTTAATTGAATAATGTCCCCCCCAAACTCACTGAAGCTTGAATTGTGTCCCCCAAGTTTTATGTATTAGAAACTTTGCCCCCACTGTGACTGTTAAGAGGGTGGGAAATCCTATTATGGTAATTGAAAGGTGGAGGCTTGAAGAGGTGATTGGATTGTAGGACCATGCCATGGTGAATGGATTAAAAATGGTGGTCAGTGGCGTGGTTCTGAGGGCTTTAAAAGAAGAGGATAGGCTGTTTTGCTCTCTCTCTTGCTGATCTCTCTGCTTTTACCACCTTGAAATGTGAGACCCCTGAGTCACTGTTGCAACCACCAAATGGACTTTGGACTTCTCAGCCTCAAAAACTGTAAGCAATAAATTTCATTTTCTTTATAAATCACCCAGTTCAATGTACTTTGTTATAAGCAACAAAAATGGACTAATACAACCATCTTATCTGCTCCATTTAGTAATTTCCCCCAACTTTATTATACAAAATTTCAAACACACAATAAAGTTATCCACCAGCCAGATTCAACATCTCTTAAAACCTTGCCATATTTGTTTAACTTATATTACTGTTATATTTTTCTGAACTATTGGAAAATTGCAAACACTCAGATGCTTTAGCTCTAAGTATTTCAGCATGCATCTGTCAAGAATGGGAACATTTTCTCACATAATCACAGTATCGTTATTATACTTCAGTAAATTAGAAGTATTTCCATAAAAGCCTTTCACTTCTAATCCATACTCAAATTTCCTCAATTAAACTGTGATTTAATCAAGATTCATGGTTTGCATTTAGTTGTTGTTTGTATTCTCTTTGAATCTAGAACAGTCTTTGTGCTTCTTAATATTGACTTTGTGATGAGATTAGGCCAGATGTCTGGCAGAGTGTCCTGCACTCTAAATTTGCCTAGTTAAGGCCGGCCCGTGGCTCACTCAGTAGAGTGCGGTGCTGATAACACCAAGGCCATGGGTTCGGATCCCATATAGGGATGGCCAGTTCGCTCACTGTTTGAGCGTGGTGCTGACAACACCAAGCCAAGGGTTGAGATCCCCTTACTGGTCATCTTAAAATAAAATAAAATAAAATAAAATAAATAAAATAATAAATTTGCCTAGTTATTTCTTTCTTTTTATTTTTTTTTATATGACCAGTAAGGGGATCTTAACCCTTGGCTTGGTGTTGTCAGCACCACGCTCAGCCAGTGAGCGAACCGGCCATCCGTATATATAGGGATCCGAACCCATGGCCTTGGTGTTATCAGCACCGCACTCTCCCGAGTGAGCCACGAGCTGGCCCATTGCCTAGTTATTTCTGATGGTGTCTTTTGGTGTGTTCTTCCATCCCTGTAAAGTTAAGTTCAGAGGCTGGATTGGATTCCGGTTACATGTTTTTGGCAATATTATCTCCTGGATGATGCTGTGTACTTCATATTGTAACCTATCAGGAGACACATAATGTCAGGCTGTGGGTTGACCCACTACCAATGATGCTGTTTGATCACTTGGTGACTGCCACATTTTTACAGGTAAGGGTGTGCTTTCCCTTTGCGTAACTGCTAATGCAAATAATCTGTGGTGCAATATCTGGCACTATAAAAACATCTTGTACTCAGTAACCTATCATCTAGCATCCACTGAATCATTTATTTCATTGGGATTATAGTATAGTTAATTCCAGTTTTTTTATATTGGTTACTGTATTTTTCATTTTTTTTGTTTTTCTAGTTTTTTAAAATAGGTCTTTTTAAAAACATAGTTCTGTTCTTTCACAATGACATATTTGTTTTTACAACTTGCTATCTTTTTTATTTCAAGCATACTAATTAAATAGACTATTTTTATTACCAGTTCAGGGAGGGGAAGGCTATTTTTCATTCTCTCTCATGGTGATGTGTCTGTGGTAATGCGATGGAGTCCCTGGCCTATGTAAGTGTCCTTGCCTAATGGTCTTGGGTTTGTTAAGGTCCCAGGGGTTTCACTATTCCTGAACCATGGGCCATTCAGGGGTCAACTCCCACTGCTGCTCTGACTTCTCCATTTTTGGCACAAGAGGAATTTTCACTTTGGGTTTCCTGTGGCTTTTGCTATTTTGAGACCACTTGATGTTAATTTCTTGACTTCTGTTTCCTGTAACAGGAAGGTATTGGAATCAGAAACAAGTTATGAGGTCTGGAGCTTTATCGCCCATGCACAGCCAGAATAAATTCACTGGAATCTGCCCAAAGTTGAGGAAGTGGAAATAACCCCCCCTGCAAAAATCCATGTGCCCCAAGAGTTCCCTCATTGGCCTAGGGGCCTTGGCACATACTATTCTCAGATTAGTCTGGAAAGCTCTCCACCTCCTTGCTCTCCATTTTGGCATACCTGGCTCCTTTAAGTTCTCTAGACTTAAGTTAAATACTACTTCAAAGATTCTTCCCTGCCATTTTATCAAAAGTAGGTTCCTCCATTATTCTCTATGCCAGCTCTCAGTTTCCCTCAGGGCAGTGACCACAATTCCTAATTTACTTTTTTTTTTTTTTTTTAAAAGATGACCGGTAAGGGGATCTTAACCCTTGACTTGGTGTTGTCAGCACCACGCTCAGCCAGTGAGCTAACCGGCCATCCCTATGTGGGATCCGAACCCGGGGCCTATGGTGTTATCAGCACCACACTCTCCCGAGTGAGCCACGGGCCCGCCCTAATTTACTTATTTACTTCTTTTTGTTCCGCTCATGTTAGAAATGCTTGGTGGGGCCGGCCCGGTGGTGCACTGGATAGTGCGCCGCTTGCGAAGCGTGGCAGCGCTCCCGCCCGAGGGTTCGGATCCCATGTACAGACCGGTTCCCGCTCA